CTGCCTGACTCCAGTGGAATAATTCCATCCCCTCCTCCAGCACCTTGCATCTGCATTTCAAAAACCTACCCTCACTATAAGCTCTCTCCCATAGTTAGCCGACACTCCCTCTCTGCAATAAAAAAACAATCCCTTTTAGAACCCCACGATCTAAATTCAGGGTCTCAGGGACCCTGAAGCTCGGCCACCCAGTACGGTGGCCACTCATCACACGTGGCCAAATCTGAATTGAGCTGCGCTTGTAAAACATGTAAAACACACACCCGATTTTAAAGACGCGGTAGGAGAAGAACGTAAACATCCTACTAACAATGTTTTATATGGATTACATGCTGAAATTATAATTCCCTTGATACACTGGGTTACAGAAATGTATTATTAAAAATAATTTCACCTGTTTCTTTTCCCCTTTTGTTAACGCGGCTACTAGAAAATGTAAGATGACACGTGTGCTTGCATTTGTGGCTCGTGAAATGTTCCTATTGGATGGCACGGCTCTTGGCATCAGCCAATCCTATCGTTTTTTTTAGCAGGTAGAGAAATTACCCACCAGAGAGGTGGAGAGACTGGCTTAGAGACACATCACCTTTGACAGCAGATAAAGGACCCCATCCTAGTTTTCTCGTCCCCAAATCCTATGCCCTTTCTTCTTTAGTCGAAGAGCAGCTGGCTGGAAACTCCTTTTTCTTTCTTTCAAACATACTTTCACACTGGGAGAAAAATGAATTTAGACCAAACAGGAAAACAGCCATTTTGGGGCCTCACCCAGTGCTTGCTGGAACACAAAGAGGGCTGTACCCAGAGGTGGTCACCACGTCTCCACTTCCTTAGCACGGAGGCTCCCAGGGAAACCAGGGGCTTCAGAGCACCCAGCCCATGTAGGAGGGTGTTCTAGTTGTGCCTCCTGCCGGCAACCAGGCCACATCCCCAGGAAGGATGAGCCCAGAGACAGCAGTTTACACACGTCCTGGGCGCTGGGAGTCTGGGAAACATGTGGAACTTTGGTGCCTCCTGAACGAATCTGCTGTCAGCTATCACTTCTATCGGTGCTGAGAGCCTTGAGCCAGAGCGATCTGACACCTTGCTCCTACTGTCTACCAAAGCCTTTCTGCTGGCTCGTGCCTGCTGGCTCTCTATAACCGAACCACATGGCAAGGAGTAGGCATGATTTCTGCACAAAATGAGGCTGGTGAATGCTTTGAAATCCAATTCAGGCAGCAGAGTGATAGTCCTGAAATTCAGATCTCACTGCCATCCACCCACTGAAAACATCCTCAATGGCTCCCTCTCACTAGCAAGATGAAGTTCATGTTCTTTAGCTGAACCATGCCCAGCAAGGGGCTCCCCACACCCCCAGGTTGCCTCTTCTAGCAGGTACTGTCAGTGCAGCTCTTTCAGCCCTCACACCCTAGTAATCCAGTGTGCTTCCAACCACGTCCAACACCGCCACGAGCTCTCTGCCCAAGGGCCTTCCAGAACCTCAGAAGGTCGCTCTGCTGGACAGCAAGAAGTGCTGGGGAATTAACACCTTAAAGGAACAGCCCTTGACCAATGACTGAGGGGACCTGACACATAGATAGCCCAGCTGCAGTGTACACTCCTGGGATTAAGCTCCAGCTGCCCTCTCTGCATTGGCTGCCCTTGGTTTCTTACCTCAGTTTCCCAATCTGCTTCCTTGTGATCACCTTCCGAATAAAACCTTTGCACTGTCACCCTTATCTTAGGATTGGCTTTTGGGGGAACCCACCTAAGACACCTCCAAACACAGCTTCCCTCGCATTCCTGCTGATTTCCGTTGGGAATGGGGAAATCTCCTGGTTATGTAGCAACCACATGGTGTGGTTGGCACTGATTCTGCCCCTCTCTGGGTGTGGGGGTTGAGCCAATCAATGAATCCCATCCTCCCTACCTCCCCCAGCCGTAGATATTGGTTTAAAAATGGACATGTCACTGAATTCAGTTTAACGAGAAAGAGTGAGACCCAAGATTGATCCTCTCTCTCCTCTGAGGTGCAAATAAGAAAATTTATGTCCCCAGGAAAGGTTCTGACAGACCAATTGATTGATTGATTGATGGCGGGGGTCTCTCTGTCACCCAGGCTTGAGTGTAGCAGCACAATCATAGCTCATTGTAACCTTGAACTCCTGGGCTCAAGAGATCCTCCCATCTGAGCCTCTAGAGTAGCTAGAACTTCAGGGGCACCCCACCATGCCCAGCTAACTTTTATTGTTGTTGTTGTTGTTGTAGAGATGCTATGTTGCCCAGGCTGGTCTCGAACTCCTGGCCTCAAGTGATCCTCCTGCCTCAGCCTCCCAAAGTGCTGGGATTACAGGTGTGATCCACCGCATCTGGTCCTGACAGATCTCTTTTGTCTACAAGGGAAGGAGTCTCCAGCTGACCCAGGTAAAGCAGAGAGAGGAGAACTTTGGTGGGGGTGGGGTGGGGATATGATGTGCACTTTTTGTTTATAGTAATCCCACACACTTTTTGATTTTAAGTAAATTTTACATCTGTAGTGGAGGAGTCACCTGCCTGTTGCCCCCACTTTGGGGTGGCCTGAGGCGCTCAGTCAATCCCCAAATGGCTGGTTTGGGAGCTCTCCCACGCTCCCACGCCTTTCTGGAATTCTTAGGGGTCTGCTGAAGTTATTGAGGGTCCTTATGGCAGCATTCTTACAGAGGGGACAAATGCGATGGCACAGAGCGCAGGGAGAGCCTTGATGTCACTGACCCAGTGACAGGACAAGCTGGGGAGGTCTGGAGGCCCAGACAGGGGTTGGTTCCCTGTACATGACGGAGATGCAGGCTAGGCAAGCCATCCCCAGGCCAGTGGACTCTTCCCCACAAGGCTGGCCTCCAATGCTGTCCCTCATAGCCATTGGCCTGGTCCTCTGCCTCCCACTGGCCACTAGAGTGGACCTCTCAGGAATGGAGCACAAGTTTTCAAATCCCCAGCCCCTTCCTCTTCCTCTTGCCCTAGCCCTGGGTCCTGCCTTGTCCATTTTTAAGCTCATGATTAAAATTCCCTTATGCCACTATATTTAATGGAACATCAGAAAGAGAGTGTTGAAAAGGAACCTACAACAGCAAGCCAAAACATGCCAAGGAGGTCCCTGTCTCTGGAAAACAAAAGTGAGTCACTCTTCCCTAAAGGGGAGAAGGAATTGTTATTCCTTCTGGAAGGTCACCCTCCACCCAAGTATTAGCCAGAATACTGATGCTAATAATGCTGGAGGGAGTGGATGGGTTGCTATGTATTGTACGATACTCCAACCTCAAATTACAAGATGGCCCAATGTGCTAAGACCCTCCAAAGGCCACCATCTTGTATCTTGGTTTCTAGAAGGCTGTGTGCTCCAGGAGGACAGGAATGGTGTATTCAGCTCTGTTTGCCCAACACTGAGCTTTACTCATGATCTATATTCACCAGAATCCCCTGCATTGGACTAGGGCTGGACTCAGACAGTCTCAAGCCAGAAAAGAACATTTGTTCCTACCTTTCCACCACTCGATGTCCAACACCCTCCCTCATTTAAGCTGTGACTCTGAAATATAAGTTTGCAATATAACAGCCCTCCATTAGAATAATGGAGTGTATCAAATTCATATGGGCCCAGAAGGAGAGGTGAGAATCTATCATTAACAATTATTGAGCTCTTACGTGGACTGGGCACTGGGCTAGATGTGTCACATGAATCATCTCCTTTATTTCTTACAATATTCCTACAAGGTGGTTATCAATACTATAATAATCCTCATTTTATGATGGGGGAAAACTGAGACTCATAAAAGACTAAATTCTGTAGTTCAAGATCACACAGCCAAGCCAATGCCAGGATTCAAGACCAAGCAATCTGACTTCAGAACTTGCCCTGCCAACCTGTGTTCCACACTGGACCCCCCTGGGAATCATCGGAACTACAGAACGACACGCTTGAGAAAGAAGGCGTTTCTTCCTCTTGGAAAACTTCATTATACCATGTTTCCCCGCCAAACCTCCAAGAGAGAATTTCTTCCGGAACTAAAAATGATTCTGGTTTCCTTCAAGGGAAGCCGATATGTTTGATGTCATCAGAAAAGATACTCAGCGTGGCTCTCTGTTCCATTTCAGACTCCTTCTATTTTGGCCACATCCTTACTAAAAATGAAGGATCTGCTCCCCTCCTTGGCTATCTACTCCAGAGGCCACGCCTACTATTCCGTCTCATCTATTCATTCACAAACCATTAACCATTCCTGCACCTCCCGTGGGTCAGGCGCTGTGTCAGGCCCCACGCCGCCGCAGCTGACATCCTATCTACAGTGCATCCCTCCAGACTCTGCAATCTAGAAGGCGGCTGCTGTATTTTCAGCTCTCTTCACAAAGCATCATTTTTTTTTTTCTTTTTTTAATTTGGGGGCTGTGCTGAGGGACGGGAAACAAGATGTAGGTAGGAAACATTCTCAGTATAACCTTCAGAGTGGGGGGGGGTAAATGCAGTGGGCAGAGAACTACACTGGGGTCAGTCGAGCCACAGACACGGGAAACACAGCACGTCCTACAGCCAGGGCCACCGCCTGCCTCCCCCGGGCGGCGGATCCCAATGACGGCCTGGGCACCAGCAGTATGCGGCAGCTCCCCAAGCGCTTTTCCTCTGGGCTCAGCCAAAAGCCTCCCGGCAGGCAGACGGCCAGCCGCCTCTCTCTCACAGCAGCCCTGCCTGTCAGGAATGTAGGGCGAGGAGCTCCATTTGGGGAGGCCACTGGGGCTGACCCTGGGTTCTAGGCAAAAAAGACGCAGCTCTGGATGGAACTGCTTGGAAATCTGGTCCCAAATGGAGCAGCATCGTCCCAGGGCCTCAGATGGAGCTTCCCTTGGACCCTCAGGGAGTTATTCTGCTCTTGATAGGCTTTAAAAAAATAAGAGAATGTCGCTTCTTCGTCGAGTTGCTGAGAGGACGAATCGTGATTGTGCACGTATATCACGTGGCTTGACACTGCCCGCCGGAAGTATCTGCCAGCCAGTCGTGGCTTAGCCCGCCCACTCGCTCTCAGAGGGAAGCTGGGTACTCACGTGACTGAGCCTCCGTAGTCACAGCTGATTGGGCAGAAATGGGCACATGACACAAGGGTGACCAATCTTGAAACTGCTGGCAAACAAGCAGGGTGGCAGCTTCAAATGGCTGAGCGAGGCCTGGGCTTCTGAAAGGGCAAGGTGCACGCTGCTAGTGGTATCAGAAAAGACCTTAGTGGTCACGTGATATTTTACACTTTTATTCTTTTTATTTTAATTTGCATCAAGAAAACGCTGGTTTCCCATTTATGATACTGATAAACAGTTCCCTCATAATTTTACAAAGAGTTGATTTTGTAAAGCACGTTAAATGTTTTCAGCCCAGCTAGTAGTAGTCTATGGTGGATAATGCATGCATGGCAGGCGGATGACTGACACGTGACAAAGTCTCAAGGTCTGCATTCCTTCCTCAGGAATTAGAAACCAGGGAAGTGAGAGGCTGGGGTAGGTGGCCAGGGCTGAAGGGGAAGGGCTACCTTGGGCTTGAGTTGGGACCACAGCAAACCAAGGCCATGTGCCTTGCAGCGGTGAAGGGGAGGAAACAGCAACACTGGTTGGCGGTGAGATACAGACTTTAAAAAATGTGCAGAAAAGAGGAGAGAGAAAAAAACAGCAACGGAGATAAAGGTTGCGATGGAGACAGATACAAAGAGAAAGGCAAAGACACAAACAGAGCCAGGTAGAGATGCCCTGAGTTACTTACCTCTGTGGACTTCCTGGCTCTACCTCCACTCAACACAGATCCTTACAATAAATCTTGCTTTTTTTTTTTTTCTTGAGATACCTTGAGTGGGTCCCTGTTGCTTACATCAGAAAGTTTAACAAAATGGATCGCCGTGAAGGAGGACCTGCATTTTGAAGATTCCCTGGCACCAGACGGCACATGGAAATCTAAGAGCAGGCAATGGGGTGGGCGGCTTTTTGGGTCCTTAAAGTAACAGGAAGGAGGAGGGTAAGGCAAGTGAGATGCCAGGGAGAAATTTAAGGAGACCCTCACTCACAAGCTCAGACGTCAAATTCCAGCAGTTTGGCTGATTTTTTGAGCTCCTCCTGAAACTCCATGGAATTTGCTGATCAAAAAGCATTGTTCAGTACGCGAGGCCCCTCTCTATCTAAACCATGGGTGTTCATCTTTAGAACTTGGCTACTTTGGAAGCAAACTGAAAGAACCAGTTGTTATATAATTTAAATTCTGCTAATGTGTATTTACTATCTACACCCAATTATCACCAATCAATTTAACAGTTATTACTTAATGGTTGAAATTTGCAATTCTGGTGCCCTAGATCTGCATGGGGCGTTGCGGCTAATTGGGACAGAAGTTATTCAGAAGCCTAATGAAAATGTAGATTCCACACATTAATCAAACAATTATTTCTATAACAACAAGAAAGCTGATCCTAAACCCAATTAGGGAATAAATAAAGTTAATCAGTGAGCAGACAACATTTACTTATCATATATGTGTCACAAGAAAAGAAATATTAGGCAATGATTCATTAAAACATCCCAAATCCAGACCATTCTAAAATCTCTCATAGCCTCCCAGCTTCAAGAAAGCAATAGATGAATTTTTATTAAAGCATTTTTTTCTACTGTAGGGTCTAGAACAGGCGTCCTCAAACTATGGCCCGTGGGCCACATGCGGATGTTTTTGCCCGTTTGTTTTTTTACTTCAAAATAGGAATTTGTTCATAGTTTTTTTAAAACTATAGTCCAGCCTTCCAATGGTCTGAGGGGTAGTGAACTGACCCCCTGTTTAAAAAGTTTGAGGACCCCTGGTCTAAAAGATATCAGAGAACAAAGAAATATATTACTATGTAAAATAAATATTTATACCACTTTAAAATGGCAGAACCAAGAACTGGAAATGTATGTGGGTGACATGGTGGACGCCATCTAGCACACCTGGAGCTTCATCTTCAGAGGTTAGTTCCTTTCAAGTAACAGAGAGGAGAAAAGGAAGCTAATTCCAATGCAGACATAAAAATTATAAGAAGACATAAACCAAAGCCAATTGTGTTTCTCTCTCCACTGCACATCCTTAGCTCCCTGTCAAAACTGCTGCCTGGTACAATTTTGGGCCCAAATGTGGACTCTTCTCCTCAAATTGCCTCAGCTGCTGATTGGCTCTTGGGGCTTTTACTGTCTTTGAAGGCTCTGTCTGATCATCATATGGATCTAATTGTGGTATAAACCCATACGGAGGTTTCCAAAGGGATGCTTGCTTTCTCTTCTTGGAAGTAGCAAATGCACAAAATGAAGAAATTTGGGAGGCTTCTGGGAGAAAAATATCTAATATGAAAATTTCCCTAGGAGTGACATAGATTTGGCCAAGACCAAACAGCATGGCAAGATGCAATAATAAACAGAATCCACACACGAGCAATGTCAGGGAGCTAGAGTCGTGTTTTATATATCTTAATGTGTTTAACCCTCACGACAACCTGATGCAGTAGGTGTCATTATTATTAATCATCCCCATTTCAAAAGATACCAAAGGCTCCATGATGAAAATCTACCTTGCCACACCTGCCACCCAGTTCCCCTCCAGTGGTTCTACTTTCTATCTATACACAAGCAAGTGCACTGTCTCAGTTTTTGGGTTCCCTCATCAGTAGACCCCAAAGTGGAAGGAGTTTATGTGGGAGGTCATCCCAGGAATAGCAGAGTGAGAGAGTGGGAAAGTGAGACGGGGAAGGTAGGAAATCCAAGAGAGTGCTGCTGCTGGGGGCAACTTGGCTCAATTGCCCTGGGACTTCTGGGAGACAGTGCAAACCATGTCTCCCAATTATCCCCATTGAGGGACGAGTGAGCTGGGGTATCTGTGTACCAACGCCCATCCCTTATTGGTCAAGCATCATGTCAAGGGTGTTAACTCTTGAAGGGTTATAAAATAACCCTTATTTTATATGTGCATATAAAATATTTAAAGATGCACTTTAGGTACACTGAGAAAATATTGATAGCCTCTGACAGTGAATGTCGTATACACGAGTTATTTTCTCTTTTCAGTACAAATGATAAAATACTATGCACAGGGTTCTGTATCTTTCTTTAATCTAACAATGAATCTTAGTGACCTTTCCACGTCAGTACATAGAGAGAGATTTGTGTATAGCTATACCATCATATGTCTAACCGGTCTCCTATTTATGGTCATTTGAGTGATTTCCAAACTTATGCTATTACAAACAATGAATAACAGAGTACATGAGTCATGTTGTACATGGATAAGTATATCTGTAGGTTAACTTTTTAGAAGTGGAATTGCTAGGGAAGTTGCCAAGCTGCCCTGGAATGATTAGCAACTTATTTGTCTTCCTTTCACTGTGTACTTCATATTTCTTGGGGCAACAACAATGATGGTTCGTTAACACTTGACACATAATGAGTGCTCCGTTAATGTCTGGATGAGTGGATGGGTGGATGGATGGATTAGCAGGTAGATGGATGAGTCGATATATGGATGGTTGCATGGATAGATGGATGAGTGGACGGACGGATGAGTAAATGAATGGGTTGATGCTCATGGATTCTGGGGCAGGATAGTTCTCCAGGTGGCCATGGACTGGCCCAGTTCCATCCCCTCGCCCCTTTCTTGTTTGTGGTTCTCAAGAGTAATTATAGAATGTACTAAAAATACAACATCCTGAGATAGGAAGGGACTGGCCAGAACAGCCCATGCTCTGTTCCAGTCGCTCCCAGGATAGAATGGCCTTTAACCCTTTAGCCCAGCAAGCCGTATTTCCCCCAGACTACAAAACCCAGGGCAGGCTGTTTTCCAGGGTCCCCCAGTTGTGCTGCAGGCAAGTCATACACAGATGAGATCTGTCTATCCTAGACAGCTTTTCTGGGAGTCAGGGTCCCAGCTCAACATGAATCCTTGGCTTCTGTTGCTCCTTGCTTCCTGTGCCTAAGTAATACACCCCCTTTATGCAACTTATGTGTGAGCGTTCTGTCCCACCAGACTCAGGCAAGCAGTATAAATTGCCACCCAAGATGCAGTGGGCTGAAGTGGCAACCAGTGCACAATGAACCTGTTTCACAAAGGCTCCAGAATTTTGTGCTGTCTCCCAGAAGTCCCAGGGTGATTGAGCCAAGTTGCCCCCAGCAGCAGCCTGTGCGTTCACACACACTCTCTTGGATTTCCTACCTTCCCCGTCTCACTTTCCCACTCTCTCACTCTGCTTCCCGGGATGACCTCCCACATAAACTCCTTGCACTTTGGGGTCTGCTGAGGAGGGAACCCAAACTGAGACAGCAATTTTGAAAACTGCTGAGAAACTAAGGGAAGCAATTTTGAAACCTGGATAAATAAGTTGGGACAGTCACATGGCTGTCTCTTGTTCTACACTGATGCTTCTTCAGGCCTCCAAGACTATAAAGAGGGGTGTATATGTCAGAAGCAAGGGGGATCCCAGAATCAGAAATAGATGCTGGGTATGAAAGTCCACAGGGGTATCCAATTACAACCTTTGAAGAGTATGAAAAATACCCCCCACACCTAAAGCTAAATGGTAAGGACTTGGTAAACTTCTGGAAACTTTGTAGCTTGCCTGGGTTTGCTGTCTTGGTTATTCCCGCAAGATCTTTAGGAGGTTACAGCAAATGGGACCATGGGCCTGTCCACTCCGGTGCAGGGAGGAGAGGAGAGCTGGGAGACAGAATATACCTTGCAGCCAGGTTTGAGAGAAGACAGAGGTAGATGGAGTGGCTTTTTATAAGAAAAAAGAAAAAAAAGAGGCTCTGTGGCTTGCGACAAAGCAGAATAGAACATGGGGTTCTGACTGGAGAACAACAGGGAGACGTCAAGGTTGAATGTGGTTAAGTAATTTGCCAACAGTCCTGCAGCTGAAAGTAGCGGCATCAGGATGGGGACGTGGGACTCTTGCCTCTGTCATGCGTAGAGTTTGTGGACCCACCACAATTAACAGTTCACTCATTTCCTATTAGTCTCAGGTAGGTAAGAACTCCAACACCTACATTCGACATCTCTTTATGAGCTCATCCTCTCCATTATTTCAAATAAATGAATACTTCTGAAAATAATAATAGTACTTACTATATAATTGAGCACTTATTACATGCCATGTCCTGTACTAAAGGCTTAGCATGGGTTTGCTCATTTCATTCTTATTAATACAACAATGCTACAAGGTAAGTTTTATCATTATCCCATCACAATGGGAAACTGAGGCACAGAAAAGTTAAGTCATCTGCTCAAGTGCATATAGTTGGTGTGTGTTGGCAACAAGATTCAAACTCAAATCTCTGAGTCAAAGCAAACACTTGTAACTGGTCCTCCTCTTTAATTATTAGCATTGGAACATTTTCTCTTTCTAAAGGTATGAATGGATTTATTGTACTGCCTGCCAATTTGCTCCTTCTATGTCTGTCCTATACAGAAACTCTGGAGACACCAATAGCTGCCTGATTAATTGATTATTAATTCCAATTTTCAGATCCTACTTTCTCAAAGCAGGGTGCACTGGAACCGAGAGTGTGGGTACTTGAAGCACGAGACAGCTCCTTGTGGAAGAGCTGCCAAAACTCTGCTCTCTTTTGTGAGCATTAAAAACAGCCCACGGGAGCCTTGGGAGGGACATACCCACTGCGAGACAGGCAGAGCCAGGGAAGAGAAGACTGGCGTCAAGCTTGTGAATGCGGCCCCAGTGTTTCTGCTCAGCCCAGGCCTTGGCCACACCAAGAGTCTGGCTGTGCTCTCTGAGAGTGACAGGAGGAACTTGAACCATTGGCATGGAACGGGAGAGGTCACATTCCTGAAACTCACTGGGCTGGCCATTATCAGCTCCTTTGCTGATTTCAGGAGTGGAGGTGGGGGGTTCCATACACTGATCTTATTACAACTATTCAAGCCAAATTGTCTAGAGATGCTTTTATCCATGCCCTAAATAAGAGGGAGAAAATGTCCATTGTTTATATCAAAGAATAATATTATAATTTGGAGTGAGGCTTTGAGATTATTGGCTGGGAGAAGAAGATGAAACCCAGGCCACCCCCAGCCTGTGTCAGCAAACCCCCAAACTCTCTCTCCGCTCAATTTCCTCTCCCCAGAGCCTCTAACCCTTCTATCCTCAAAGCTTTGCATTTTTATTCTTCCAAGGACACAGTTGGCTGGGGGACTGAATGGAGAATTTGGCTTCCCTCCTGCTTGTTCCTGAACAGATCTCCTTAAGCTGCAGTTTGTGTTTATTTCCTGGCATTTCGGCCAGACAGGCAGACCCCAGAGAGACGCACATGGGAGTGTTGGGAGGAAGGTCAAGTTTCACACTCAAAGAGCTGAAGCAGCTCCCTTGTGAAGACAGCACTCGAAATAACATTTGCTTTTTGTAGTGTCCATCTATAATTTCTATTCATGGGGCAACTTCAAAGAATACCAGTAAAAAACAAATAGAAGAAAGTAAAATTCACTCAGGTCCCCACACAGACATCTTGGCAAATAACCCCTCTTAACATTTTGGTAAATAACGCCAAGGTCTTTCTTTTTTTTCTATGTATGTAGTCCTTTTTCATTGCAAAAATGGCATCATATTGTTCAAAGTTTTGTGTATCGTTTTTTTCTACTTGATGTATTGTGAGAATCATCTCATGGCTTGCAAATAAATTTCCATTCTTTTTAATGACTGCCCAATGGATCACTGGATAGCTAGAACTTAGTTAACCATCTCCTCTTGTTGGCCAAGTTGCCCACCCGCTGCCCTTATTATTATAAATCCTACCACTGGCAAGAATTATAGTATTTTAAAGAGCTTTCTATTTTTCCAAGTATTTCTGAGATTCCTTAGGGGTGACTATACCGTACTTGACACCTGTCATGCAGAGGTTGTGGTTTGGCTTCTTGGGCTGGGTGCAGCAGAGTCAGAGTTGGTTGTGAGTCAGAGTCCTACTTCTATGTATGGTCTGGCTGTTTGCTATTTGTATATTCAGTCTCAGAATTGCCAACTCCCTTTATAGGAAGCCCCGCCGATATGCCACTACCAACAGGGAGTTCTTGGCCCATAAGAATAAAAATCACCCAGCATCAGTACCTGTCCTGAAGTCTGCATTATTCAGTCTTCAGTAGCACTGTAAAGAGAAAACATTTCCACTTACAACATTGCTTGCCTGGAGATGTTCAAACTGACTGTTGCGTTTTGTCACAAATGGTTGTAGCCAACCAACGCTCACAAAGCCCTTGGTGACCCTGAACGCCAGGCCCCACTGGAAGTAACTGAAGACTCTTTCCTGACCTACGGATGTGTGTTCAGACGGATGGGCTCACTGGTCCTGTCCACGGGGCTAGCTTTCAACCCTCCATCAGCGTAGTGCCATGAAAACCCCTTCGTAGCACTTAATAGTCCTGGCTTCATCCCCTCTGTGCATGACCTGCTCAGTGAAATTCCTCACTCACATCCTTTGGTTTGACCACTTAATAGACTCAGTTTTATATTTTTATTCTATTTTTAGCTCATGTGATATGTGTATTTTTGACTGCACCGTTATCTGTGATCTCAGCTGTAGAGTCCACACTGGGCTCCCCCAAGAAGCTGGACACAGGTTCTTTTTAAGCTGGACTTTCCCATGCTTTCTGCAGCCACCAGAGCTTTGGGTACACGTCTCTATCAGCCATGGCCTGTCACGGACACGCAGCGATCCCTGAAGAGACATAGTGGGCTCAGAGCCACCTGCACAGTACTGTCTAAATCCATAAAGAAAAAAAAAAAAAAGAAAGAAAGAAATATCCCCCCATTCACTGCAAACCAAAGTCTCCAGAGAATCAGGAGCAGCTTGGCCTACCCATGATCATGCAGGATAACTGATCATTCACAGCTTTCCCTGAAACAATTGGCATCCACTTGCTTTGCACTTGTGTAGCTGAAGGGCCTGCTCAGGTGGTTTTTCCAGAACAAAGGAACAGCTGGCTCCAAAGAGTATTGAAATCGTCACCACTTACCAGATAGAAATCTGCTTCCAGTTATGAAATGAGGGTTTTTATAGTCTCTGCTAGTCCCAGTGAGATTTTGTTTTGTTTTGTTTTGTTTTTAAATACTTTTGTGAGTACCAGGCAGGGTACCTGGTTTATAGTTATGAAAGTAGAATGGTGCAATCCACCAGTTTTGATTCATAGATTTTTCTAGTGTCTTTAAAACAGGATTTTAATTGGCCTACAAAGAGCAAAAGTTTGACATAATATCAGATTGTAAATTCCACGAGGTCAGGAGATATATTTTATTCATCGCACATTCACAGAGAATAATTTTCCCAGATCCTTGATAATAGGAGATACCAAATAAATGTGTTCTGATTGAGAAAATGAAGTCAATTTCTCAGGAGTGTTATAGGTTAAGAGAAAGATTAGGGGACCAGGTACCTACGAATTCCTGAGACCTGTATGTGTTTGTGGAGGGAGAGGGAAGAGAAGGGGAAAGAAGGAAGGGAGAGAGAGGGAGGGAGAAAGAGAAAGATGATTGATTGGTACATAGATCGATTGATCAATCAATAGATCAATCTTCAAAGGAAGCCCTCATTTAAGTGACCAAGAGACTGAATGTTCAGAGAGTGCAGACTAAAGAGAGATGGACTCAGACATGAGAACAAAGAGAAAGATGGGACCTAGGGTCCTACTTTTAAGGACTAGTTGTCATTGCCACCAGTGAACTGTAGCCCAGTGAGTATCCCAGGCATTGACCAATCATATCAGCAATGCCTTCTTCTACCTATTCTGTAAAGCAGACATCAATGTGGGATTTAGATGGTGCAGACACACACTCGCTAGAAATTTTGTCCATCCTTGCTAAATTTCTCTTTAGGAAGTTACCCCTCAATCATTCTAGTAACCCTGCCCTACTTAGGAGACGGGGCTATGGAGACAGACTTCCTGGGTACACCACTTCCTAGCTGTGTGATCTGAGGCAAGTGACTACACCTTCTTGGTCTACTGCAAAATGAGGGTCACACTAGTACTCACTTTATGAGTCTTTCTGATGAAACCATCCGTATAAAGAAAGCACTAACCATGGGATTTAGCACAGAATACATCTGTAGAAATATGAGCTGTTTTAAAAAAGATCATATTTCCCAAATCTAAGATGCCACTGGTTGAAAGGCACACCATTACCACTGAAAAAAAGAAAATGTTGATTATACTGACCATGATGCTTTCATGTCAGTTGACGGTAAGAAATATCCTGATTCCAGAGATGTTAAAACATGGGGAGAAAATCGTGCGACTTAGTTGCATCAATAACTACAGCATAAAGATAAAATTTCCCTCTCAAACGCATTCTCAGTGGGACAATTCTGTACTTCTGGAGAGCTGCCCTTCTCAAGTACCCGTCCATCCACAGTGCACAGACTGTCACAGAACCTCTGCGATCTCCTCATCTTACAGAAAGCCAGGTCACTTGGGCAAAGCGAGAGGGTGGCCCTTTCCTTGCCGAGGCTGAAGCAGGCCAGGTGGGGTGGGCATACCTTTCCTCTGGCCCTGGTTGATGTCATCCTCTGTCATCCAGCATGTGTTTTTACATAACTGGCTGACGACTGGGCTTTTGACATTCATCCTACAGGGTCTGAACTCATAGGAGTAAGAAAAGAGTCTGGCTTTATAAGACATTCAGAATCTGACTCCACTCTTTGTAACCCTTGGCAACCACCTAGCACCTGGATTGCAACTTCCCTGCAAAGCCAGGAGTCATGTCCTCATTCTCAACATGGGACATCAACTTCCCAGCAACTGAGGCCTCTCCAGTGGGAACCCAATGTGTGTGGGCATTTCAGAACTGTGCCGTCCTGCTGTCCAGAAATCGGTTGAGAAGCCAGGCCGGGCTTACCAGCAGGGAGACATGAACCCAGGCGTTCAAGACCCCAAGTCCAAATGAACCATGAGTAAAATCCAAAAGTAATGGGTGTAATGGAGTAATGAGTTCCAAGCCCCCAAAAAGATAATTGTCAACTTCTACTTGTTGAGAATGTATTTATTATGTGCCAGGTAATATTCAAAATGCTTAATAAGCATCGCCCCCATTGAAATCTCACAGCCCTTTGAGGCTGGTCATCATAAGGTCCATTTTACAGATGAGGAAATGAAGGCTCAAAATCACAAAGCTAGAGAGAGTTGGGATGAGGATATGAAGCCAGGCAGCATGGATTCTTAACCACAAACCCCAGTGAAAGGAGAGTGATGGGCAATGAGGCTCTGGAACCTTCTACTAGAGTCCAGAATGGCCATCTGTGGGACAGGCTTATGCGTAGCAGCCGGAGTGGGGTGGCGAAAGGGGGCCAAGCATTTGTTGCCTGAAGCGTCCCTCCCACGTCATGGGTCAGTTGGGGTTTGGCTGATCTGGGCTGGGCTCAGCTGGGTTTGGCTCAGGTCAGGTTGAATCCACATCTGCTCCGTGTCCCTCATCCTCCCTGGATGAGCAGTGTGACTCCAGAGACGTGCGCCGCTCATGCCAAAGGCAGGAGCAGGAGAGGGCAAGCTCGACTGCACAAACACTCTCCAAGCTTCTGTTTGCACCATGCCCTCTCACGTCCCATTGGCCAAAGCAGGTCATGTGGCCCAGCCCAACTCCAAGGGTAGGAAGCACACCGGGTGGTGAATGTTTGCAGAACAATGATCGACCATTCCATGCCACATCTTCCTCATGGCAATACCTCCTCCTCCCAGTCTTTCCATGTGGCCATTTATTTATAGGGCAGACCCCATTTCCCCAACACAGACTAGAGAAGGGCACTCAATTACTGGTGTAGTTGTCTCACTTTTCACTGAGAACCTTCGCTCTGTCACCTCTAGCTATGAGCTAAGTCACTCCTCTGATTCTACACCTCTAGCTCCCCTCCCCTACCCCGCACCTGAATGGGAAGCCCCTCTTTTAAGGAGCCTTCATTCCTGGGGAAGCAATGCCCTCTCTAGGCTGCTCACCAGGCGTAGTCACCTAAGGCCCAGGTAACCATCATCCCCCTGACATGTGAGTGATGGCCTCTCATACCTGCAGCCTATCAAACGATGACCCCTTTGAGTCCATCTCTTTCTCCCTGGCTTATGGTCTGGGACAACCTCCAGGAAAGACATTGATTGTTCATGAGGCCTCAACTTTCTGCCTTCAAAACAATCCCCCTTAACTGGTTGCTCTCTGCAGGTAAGCTTGGGCCTTTCCCAAGCCCTCTGGTGTGTCCCTGGCTACCCCTGCAATGCCATGACTTGAGCAGCCCACTGGTTTCCTGATCTGCAAGCACATACGCTCTCTCCAAAGAGCTTCTTTTTCTTTGTTTTTCTCCTCTGAGCTTAGTTCAAATATTCGGGTCACTGGACTGGCACATAGCCCCTTTTGACCAATCTGGGATATATCAGCATGCCCTGAAGTCTCCACCAGGCATGACATTTCCCCTAGATTGCTCCACTGGGCACAGCAGACACCAGGCACTATTCTGGTTTCCATGGGTACCATCATCTCTCCCACTGCTCCATCAGGAGCTCGTTCCAATATCCTGAACTTCTCCTGTGCCACTGCTGTCCACTGGCCTAGGCTGAAGAGGAAGACATGGACGGACTTCTCCCCTGTGTATTACACCATGTCACATTGATTTAGGTCTAGGTGCTGCTGTTTGGGCGCCAAGATGCTACAGAGCCTCAAGAGGCTTCCCTCTCTGGCTGGCCTGGGTGGGGATTGTTGCCTGGGCAACAGTCACTATACCATACTCAGGATCCCCACTCTCCTGTGACAACTCGGGCTCTGTCGTCAGAATAGTCACATCATGCTCAGCAACCTCTTCCCTTAGGGTTAGTTCCTCCCTGAAGACTCCCTCTGAGATACCTTGAATGACAGCAGGGGTCAGAGTCCAGGATCAAGCAGAGATCTCTGCTTGTCCATCAAATAAAAGTCCACATTGACATGAAATAATTTTGTTTACAGCAAAATAAATTGCAAATCATGACCAAGATGAGGGTAAGTCAGGGAATTCGACCTGGAAAGAGAACCACTTTTGCCCGAGCCGGACCCCCTAGCACATCCCTAATGGCCTGGATGCCTCGTGATTAAATTTCCATTTGAAGTTAACAGCTTTCCCACTGCTGAGATCTAAAAAAG